CAAATCTCCTGGTCCAGATGGTATAACACCGGCCATGCTGCAACACGCAGATGAACGGATAATATCATATCTGCAGGACATTTTTAGGGTTTGTTTACTTTTGTCGTACATACCCAGTCTATGGAAAGAGGTTACCGTGACCTTCATCCCGAAAGCCGGGAAGCCGAGTCATACGGTACCTAAAGACTATAGACCGATTAGTCTTTCTTCCTTTCTACTAAAAACTTTAGAAAGGTTACTAGACTCAGAAATTAGAGATACCATTGACCGTAATAAACTTAGTAAATCCCAACATGCCTATATCAAGGGCAGATCAGTGGATACAGCTCTGCATGAGGTGGTTGGATACATCGAGAAGAATATGGAGTCCTCTGGCTACACGTTGGCAGCATTCCTCGACATCGAAGGAGCTTTCAACAATGTGAAGCTAGAGGCAATCCATTCTGCTCTTGTAGACATAGGTATCCCCTCACTCCTTACGGAATGGTTTGATAGAATGCTGGAAAGCAGAATTATCAACTCATCCCTAGGAGAGAGTTCCGTGAGGAAATCTGTCAACAGAGGCACACCTCAGGGTGGAGTTCTTTCCCCCCTTTTGTGGCTTCTGGTGATAAATGAGATACTTATGAAATTCAATCATCTCAGGATAAAGGTTGTAGCCTATGCCGATGATGTAGTCTTGTTGGTTGGGGGTAAGTTTATTACGACAATATCAGACATCCTGGAGGGTGCTCTTTCAACCCTGTCAAATTGGGCTTGCACCAAAGGTCTTGGTGTAAACCCCACAAAAACCGAACTGGTACTCTTCACTAGGAAATACAAAGTTCCTAGTTTCCGTCTGCCATCACTTGGTGGAGTGACATTAACTCTCTCTGATGAAGCTAAATATCTTGGCACTGTCCTCGACCGCAAGTTACTGTGGAATAGGATTGTCGAGGAACGCTCCAAGAAGGGATTGATGGCACTCTATTCATGCAAGAACTCCATAGGCAAGAGTTGGGGATTGAGACCCGGAATTATACACTGGCTGTATACGACGATTGTCTTACCCATACTTACCTATGGATGTCTTGTCTGGTGGCAGGGGGTGAATAAAAAGAAGCTGCTGACAAGACTGAGCTTAGTACAGCGATCGGCCTCAATTCTGATCACTGGAGCATTAAGAAGCACACCACAAGCAGCCTTGAACGCAATCTTGAATCTCCAACCATTGGACATTCTGATCAAATTCCAGGCTGCTAGGTGTGCCCTGAGACTCCGGGAAACAGATGCCTTGAAATCGCGGAACTATGGTCATGCCAGCATTCTAAACATAACGCCAAGTTATGACCTTTTTAGGGGGGATAGTCATATCAGTGATTATATTCCCCCCCACAGGGATTTTAATGACATTAAAGTCGAATTTCCTAACAGGGAATCCTGGACTAGTGGCTCCCTACCTCTGCCAGGTCTGTCAATCTTCACAGACGGGTCCAAGATGGAAGAAGGCACTGGCGCAGGCGTCTACTGCAGGGAATTAGGTATACGAAACTCATATAAACTCAACAATGATTGTAGCGTTTTTCAAGCAGAGATTCTTGCAATCACGAAAGCGGCCGAGATAGTAAAAGCACTTAATACAGACTTTACAGGACCGGTGACTATTTACGTAGATAGTCAGGCGGCCCTGAAAGCGGTGAAGTCGCATACTATAAACTCGAAGGCAGTTCATGATTGTAAGACCGCTCTGAATGATATACGTCAAATAGTTGGGTTATGCTGGGTTCCAGGACATAACGATATTGAAGGGAATGAGATAGCCGACGAGCTTGCTCGAGGGGGGTCACAGTCGTCCAGTCTTCTGATTGAGAGATCTGTGAAACCCCCTATTAGCTATTTCATTGGCAGAATCCGTGCGTTCTATTGCGAGGTAGTCGGCAACAGATGGCTAAGGGAACCTGCATGCAGAATCTCTAAATCTATCTGGCCAGAATTCTCTCATAAAATGACGTCTTCGCTGCTGGATCACAACAAGAGGGAGATTAAGATCGTTGTGGGGATCATTACTGGTCACTGCAAAGTTAGATCTCTCACTTCTAAGTGGGACTCCAGTGGAGAGGATTACTGTCGTCTATGTGAGGATGAAGAAGAAGTGGAAACAATTGAGCACATCCTTTGCAAATGTCCATCGCTGATCAGCAGAAGACATAAACAGTTTGGATGTTATGAAATTGATAATCTAGTCTTCTTCTCCAAAATAGACCCTAACCTAATTCTAGGCTTTGTCAAAAAATTGACTTGGCTAAAATAATGTCTCTTCCGCTTCCGCTCCCTCCTATTCTGACTACCTCTCTCTCTACTCTTCCACTATCTTTTCTTCTCTCTCTTTATAGGTACACCTATACATAATGGATGATCACAATGGACATAGTCTCCGAGTGGACGGTTGTTACAACAGCCGTACATCCCAAACCTAACCTAACCTAAACCTGGCTGTATGGCACCCACAGGAAGTCTTCGGTATGACCAAGAATAGGCCTTCCGGCTATTCTTGACCAACAGGTTACCTTCTGTGCAATTAAGACCTACAGGAGGTCTTCTGGATATAGAGAACCTTTAGAAGGCTATAGAGAACACGCAGAGGGCTATAGAGAAACAAAAGGCCTTCTGGTTATATAGGACTTAGAGTTATTGCTTTCACGCAATGAGCTGAAGTGACAAACGTTGGCCGAGGAAAACACGGATATGTGAAAAAACTACAGAAGACCTTTTGGCTATATCATCAGTATAACAGCAGGAGATCTTCTGTTGCATAGATCTGCAGGGTATGTTGTGGACAAAAAGAACCTAAAGGAGATATTCTGACAATAGAACACTTTAAGAGGTCTTCTGGCTGTATTTTTGATGCCATCGGAATCCAAAATCACCTTCTCATCATTTGTCAGAAGGTGGCTACCTAATCAACCATCAATACCAGAATTGAGTTTCCAGCACTTAAGCTTGGAAGTCATCAATTTTTCAATGCAATTTTATTTGTATCCTGATTTCGATCATAATCCTCAGTTTTCAGTTCAGTAAAGGCATAAGCAGGACACCTTCATCGATATCCTATATAACCAACAAGAATGTCCGAATCTGAATCACCAACAGCGGTAATGACTCACCAGTCCCGCACTAAGTATGTGTGTCAAGTAACCATGGATTATTCCTTTTCGCAATTCCCATGAGATCGTGTTTTTCTGCGGCAGGCAAACTCCATTGGTCTCAACTACAAACATACCGCCATTTTCGTCGTAATTAAAAGAGATCTGTCTGGCCCCCCTATCTCAGTGGGCGGGTACCGGTTCAACATCAATATTTCCATATCCTCATCTACGTCATTGTGACCAGCATCACCCATTTCAGCTTTCTGATCGTTGACATCGGGACATTCATTTTCATCCATATCCTGATCGTGGCCATAATCTTCATAAACTTTATGTTCACCAACAGCATCTACGGAACCACATTCACCTGCCACAGCCAATATGAACCGCTATTGCAGCAGCCTTCGTTTACACGACACAGAGTTCCACGATCTGAAAGAACTCGAGTCACAACCGGCCAGCGCCCGATAGCTCAGCCCATTGCGTAAAAGCAGTAGGTCTTTTGAATATTGGAGGTATCTTGCATTAATTGGAAAGTTGCGGAAGGCAGCAGAAGTGGCGGCACTGGAACCTTCAACTAGTTGCAAAACTAATAACACCACCACCGAGTCAACACCCATACCCGAATCGGAAACTCTGACAGCAGTCATTACAGCCTCATCATCATTACTTTACATTTTACTTTATAATTTTCATACACCTCGACAAATGATTAATTTTTCTGAACGTTCACAGGCCTCAGTGTCAGACATACCATCATCTATAGAAGGCAAAAGCAACATCGATGTCTAAATATAAAAACCCATCAAGCTGTATAATATGTGGAAAAGGTTTCTCCTATGTCAGTATCACCTCCCTAGGAGGAAGAGGCGACTTTTGGGCATAACTGTATGACTTTGGGGAACAGGCGACATACAACCAATCGGGGATTTGTTTTCTCCTTAAGGAGGTATTGGGCAAATAGAATTCCCACAATGGGTGTTCTTATGGAAAGTATTCTATTTACAGCACGAGTAATATTTGAAATATAATAATACATGAAATAAAATATTTACACATTCATTTAGTTTATAATTAATGTTGGAAATATTTATTTCTTTTTTTCTTGTTGTTGTTTGTTTGTTGTATTTGAATTGTAAATTTTAAGAATTTATAATTAATATATGTATTGTTGTAGTAATGTATTTTAAATTAAATTATATTTCTATTATTAAAAATATGTATGTATGTATACGAAGAATATGTAGTAATGGATGCTAGAGATAATGATTATATTTCTTATATAGGATGTATTTTATGTATACAACTAAATTCTAAATAATAAAACGCAAAAAAGAATGTGCTGACATTGTGCAGCAATACAAAAAATGTTAAGAGATGATATTGTAATGACCTTGAAAATACAACCTAAAATCCTTTGATCGATTATATCAATTCAAGAGGTTTTGTTGGTTCTATGCGAAATCTAGAGGACAATTACAACATGTAAATAATGCTTCCGTGCAACATAAGTGCGTATGCCACAAAAGGAGGAGGAAATAAATTTGTTTTTGGCAATTTTGTATCGGTTTACTTCTTCTTTCTTAGCAGAATAAGGTTGCAGTCCCAAGCCTTAAAACGGCGGCGGGAGTAAGTATTCCCTCTGCTACAAGAACTAAAAAAAAATAAAATAAATTCTTCAAATATATAAATTTACACAAAAAAGTGGACACATATCTAAACGTGTGATGAGAGGAGATGCAGCAAAGATGATAAGACACACATACAATGAAATATGTATTGTTGCTTAAAAATGTTGTGGTGCAGAGACATATATCTACTTTAGCTAAACCTAGGTCTGTCTGTTTGTTTGTCTGTCTTCAGTTTAGTTCTGTTATTTAAAATCTATTTGTAAAATTGCCAGCAGGCCGTCTCATGCGACGGGCTCTTTGGCCCCGTTGATTGCCAAAACCGCCGCGGGCTGGACTGCCACCTTGTTGCTGCTGTTGTTGATCTTGTTGGCCCCGCTGACTGGGAGAAGTGTTGCGTTGTGAATTACCCGGTGATTCTATAAGAGGAAATTTTGGTTTTAGTCGGACCCTACAAACACTCATAAACAATAATCATTTATTTTTTATTACCCTGCCAGACAATGGGTGTGGGCCTGTTGGCACCACCACCACGATGGAAACCACGTTGTGGTCTACGATTCGCTGTCATACCCTTGGTGGCCTTGGATCGAGTATTAATGGAGGGTGATGTGGAGGCTTCAGCTTCACGTCCTTCTTCCTGGAATATCAACAACAAAGAAAGAATATACGAATTAAATAAAGTTCATTTTAGACAAAATTCCCACTTACCTCTACTTCTTCAACAGCTTGTTTTTCACCTTCGGAGGAAACTCCATCGGCACCTTCATTTTCTTCTGAGGTGGCTTCAATTTGATTTTGTTGTACATCTTCTGATTGAGTGGCTCCACTGCTTAGGTGACCTAGGGACACAAAATAAAAATTTAGAAATTTGCTTTACATAAATTCCATTCCCAAAACCTTACTTTCACTGTCTACATTTTCGGATGCCTCAACAGATTCACCGCCCTCTTCATTGAAATCATCCTCTTCGCCTTCAACACCCTCTTCATTTAAACCTTTTTGAGCTTCTTCAGAGGTAACATCACCACTCTTCTTTTCATCATCGTATTCTTCGCCTAAAAACTCTCCCCCTGCACCAGCTTCACTATCATCGGCTGCAACATCAGGATTTTCTTGACCCACATCGGCTGACACATCATCAGATTGTTGAGCAGTATTTGAGGTGGTGGTAGTCGTATCCGTGGTGCCATAACCAAATTTGGAATCTTGTGGAGAACTGACAATTTCAGAACTGTAAGTAAAAACAAATCAAATTAAAAATAACAGAAAAGTAGAAAAGAATATTTTGAAATTACCTTTCCGAACGCCTGGCCGCTGAAGTTTCTGATGTTTCATTATTGCCGGCCTCTCCTGCCCCTCCTTGGGCTCCCTGTTGCAATTTCACCAATGTGGCTTTCTGTTGGCGACTCAATGTGTTGGTTTGCTTTCTGACCGGAGTCTCGCCACTACCACTGCTTATGGCCTGACTTTGTTGATTATTATCCTGGCTATGGGCCTTGGCCAAGGCAGCAGCAGCTGCTGCACTTGTACTGGCACCCGTGGCATAAGGATCAGCATCAGCTTGTCCCACAGCACCAGCGGAACTACATTGACCATTATTTTCCATATCCTCATCAACATCAACTTCATTGTTATCGGCTTCACCCAATTCAGCATTGCCTTCGTTGGCCTCGGGACATTCATTTTCATCCATATCCTGATCTTGATCATAATCCTCATAGACTTCATGTTCACCATCAGCATCGGCGGGACCACCTTCATCGGCCTCCGCCTCAGCCATACCATCATCTTCCTCAGAATCTAACACCACTACATCATCTTCTTGATCCCTTTGCGAAGAGGTAGGTACCTGGTCAACATCGATTCCCGAATCTGAAACACCGGCAGCAGTCATTACAGCAGCCTCTGCACTATGCATGGGAGCCCTCATCCGTTTTGGATGTTTGGATGATGTCCCCTTGTCGGCATCATCTCCCGTGGTCGACGAATCTCCTTCCAATTCACGTGGACGTTTGTGACCGGCAGAGGTACCCGCCTGAGTGGTGGTCACATTGCTGCTGGAAGGCGTATGTCGATTGTGACTACTTACAGCAATGTGAGAGGAACACATGGCCGATGATGACTGAGATGTACTGGGTTGTGGGTTATTGGGATCTTGCATTAATTGAACTGTTACAGAGGGTGCGGAGGGGGCTGCACTGGAACCTTCAACTCGCGGAGAAACTAATGCCACCACTTGCACCTGGTTTACATTGCCACCACTGACATGTGGCTGGGGTTCATTTTGTTGAGGTTGCTGGATACTTTCAGCTTCCTGGGAGCTCTCTGCAGCTGAGGCAGCCGAACCCATGGGTGGTATGGCAGCAACAGCCACCGAGGCTGAGCTGCTAGTTGAGGGCATGTAGTCAGTGTGTGATGATGTGGGCGAAGAGGACATAGTTTCCAACGAGGCGCTGCCTGTGGTATGGACTTGTTGTTGTGGTGGCACCAAAGCAGTGTTGCTGCTTCCCGTCGCCGAAGTTGGTGTTGAAGATGGTGTGGAAGTCGACGAAGTGGACGAAGTCGATGTGGAAGTACCAGCCACAACAGCTGTGGATCCTGCAGAACTTTGTTGAGATGTGGGCAAGATGGCTGCAGTTCGGGTGTTCTGCACAGAAATTGGTCGTATACTGGCCAATGGTGTCTCACCACCACGCCATGGTGTTACCGTGGCGGATTGTTGTACCGATGCGGTACCAGACATGGGTTTGACATTTGCAGTTCTGGGCGAGGAATCAGATATGGTACCCTTATCGGATATGGCCACAGAGCTTGTGGACGGTTTGGCGGATTGCTGTAAGCCCAGCTGGCGATTTAATTGATTGATGCGTATTATAAGCGATTCATTTTCTCTGGTCAGACGTTGTACATCTTCCTTGTTGCGATTATTCTGTTCTAATAGCTCACGCTCCAATCTCTGCAATGTGGCATCATATTGCGACTGCAGTTCATTAATTTTAGCTTCGTGAGCTTCATTACTTTGCAACAATTTTGTTTTGGTGGCAGCCAATTCAGTGCTAACCACATTACGCGATTCTGTCAAATTGACAATGTGGCTCTTGGCCTCACGCAACAATGTCTTCGTACGTTCATCAATCTCAACGGAAGCCTTGAGCTCTTCATAGTCCTTGCGGATCTTTTCGTTTTCTTCCTGCATTGTACGAATCACACCATTCAAGTTTTCAATTGTTGAGCGATGTTGTTCCAATTCAGCATTTGAGGCAGTGGCAGCACCTTCACCAGCAGCGTTGCCGGCCCCAGTGGCAGCATCTATATTCTCTTGACCTGATGCATTGGCATTTGCTGCTCCTTCACCACCTGCTGCCGAAGCTGGAGTCTTATTCAACAACTCCAAATAGGAATCCTTATAACGTTTGGCAATTTTACGTATTTGCACCTCCTTGTTCTTGGAATCTTGCAATTGATGTTCCTTAGCTTCCAAATCTTCGGTGATTTTCTGAACAGCTTCTTCTTTGGCCAGGAGTTTATTTTTCATTTCCATAACCTCCTGCATTAGGCGAGAATTGGTTACCTTCATGGTTGTGACATCAGCTGTCAAACTCTTCTTCTCTTCGGTTAACATATGGACCTGTCTCTCCAACGAAGCCAGTTCACCATCAAATTTGGTTTTGTCTCCCTTCAGAGCCTGCAGCTCCTCAGTGAGCGATTTAATTTGTTCCTTTTCGGCTGTTAACATTTTAGCCAGATTTTCACGTTCCGATTGGAGACGTTTAAATTCTTCGGGATTCTTATTACTCTTCTCAACCAAAACATTTGCTCGTTGACGCCATTTCAATGCTTCGGTGCGGAGACTACTATTTTCAGATTGTATTTCTTCAATCTTCGTATTCAGATCACGATTTTGATTTTGCAATGGGAACAATTCATCCTCCAAGGCGCTAATGCGATCATTTAATTCCTTAACGCGTTGCGTTAGAGCATTGCGTTCTTCGCGCAGCACACGATTACTATCCGTGACGGCATTGAGGGTTTCGATTTTACGCAAAATCTCTTCATGTTTGGAAGCTGATACCAAGTTGGTATCGGTTTTACTTCTTTCGCGATTAAGGAAATCTTGTAATTCTTCATTTTTCTTTTGCAGAATAGTGAATTCGGATTGCAGGCGAGTATTCTCCGCCTTCAGGATATCCAATTTGGCCAAGGTCAGGTCCTTCTCCTTACGTAGGAATTTAACAATTTGTAACAATTGTTCATTGCTCTTATTTTCAGCTTCGGCATCAACCATAGAACGATTTGCATCACCACCACTAATGGATGTGTCCATTAAAACAGAATCGTTATTGGCTGAGCCTGCACCAGCAGATTGGCTGAGTGTAGCCAATTTATTGGACAAAGCCTCGATTTGATCATGTAAATTGGCATTAAGGGAATTGAGATCCTCCAAACGTTTCTCAAGTTCCTCTTTTTCTTTGCGCAGCAGGACCAAGGATTCATCTTGATCTTTCTTGTGATTTTCCAATGCCATTTTGGCATTGTCACGTTCCACAATAAGTTCATTGATTTGACTTTGAACCTGGAAAATAAAATGAGAGATATTAGAAAATATAAAAATTTCAGGTCTACCTATAAAAAATCGAATCATCTATATAAAAAAGAATATATTGTCTAGTAGTCGAAGCTCCCTTACCTTAACCAATTCCTGTTTAACTTTGCCCAACTCTTGGATATCAGCTGAATGTAATATCATTTCATTGGCATATTTCGATTCAACACTATTGAGATTTTCCGATAGGGTGATATTCTCCGAACGCAGAGTACGCAAATTCCTATTACATTCACTCAATTTCTGTAGAGTATCCTTGAGTTCATCCTGCAAGCGTTTAACTTGTTCAGCGGGTTGATTTTGATTAACCTTTGCCTCACTCATTGCGCTCAGCTGTAAATCGGCTTCCAACTCTGTAATACGTGATTTAAGATTCTGTTCATTGGCACACAGATCCTTGATTTCTGCCTCTGCCTTCTCAACATACGAAGTATGTAGATCATGGAGATTTTTAATTTCTGTCTCTGCATTTTGTGACATCTTATAATATTGATCGGCATGTTCCTTGGCCTTCTTCAAGCTGGTTTGCAATGATTCAATTTCAATCTTGGCCTCTTCATATTTCACTTCAAATTCGCGTGCCTTCTTATTGGCCAGGGCAATTGGATTGTCGTTCTTCGAAGGTGTCAAGCTCTCTTGCAATTTCTTGCTGAGCTCATCGATTTGATGGGTCTTTGTGGTGAGTTCTTCGCGTACATTTATCAATTCCATACGTAGCTTATCGGCTTGTTCCTTTTCTTCTTGCATTAGTTTCTTGGCAGATTCGGTTTGACGTTTCAAATCGTTGGTTGTTTCACGGAAACGATCCTCTTCCTCTTGGAATCTTCTACGTTGGGCAGATAACTCCCGTACGGTTTCATCCAAACGTTGCTCAAGACGCGCCTTGCCTTCTGTCTCAGATCTTTCCAAATTGGCCTTAATCAATTCCAAATTATTAAGCAACAAAGTTTGACTTTGTTGTTCACGATGGTAGGCTTCCTTTTCGGCCTGCAGGCGACCCACTGAATCCTTGAGTATACGATTTTCATGTCTAACACGACTGGCTTCGGATTCTGCGGCAGATTGTTGGCGTTGGCATTTCATTATCTCATCCTTGAGATAGAGTACCGTCTGTTCATGTTTCACAATGGTATTCTCGTAGTTCTTATTACGATCTTCCAAGGCAGTAATTTGCTGTTTATATGTGGCAATGTTCTTTTGCTGCAGTTTAATCTGTTCCTTGGTATATTCCAACGAAGACATCAATTTGCAATTGGTTGAGGTTAATTCACGAACTTCCGAACGCATCGAATCAAATTGTTCATTGAGCAATTTCTCGTTATTCTTCTTTTCCTTGGAGTAGTATTCATATTGTTCCTTCAGTGTCTTATATTGTTCCTTGACTTCATGTAGCTGTTGTTCCAAATCCTTAATGCGTTTCTCTTGTTCTTTGCTTCCCGCTCGGGAACTCTTGTTCATGGTTGTTGATTGTCCAGTGGCATTCATGGATTCATTGCCATCATCATCCTGCATTTGTTCCTCATCATTATCGCTAATATCATCAACAATCGAGGAGGATTGTTTATTCAATTTCCTTTGCAATTCAAAGTACAATTTCTTGTAACGTTCACACTTCGATACCAAAGTGGCCACAGTATTATTTTGCTGATTCAAGGTGTCTTGCATGCTTTGGAATTTGGCAGCATAATTTTCCAATTTCTCTTGATAGGAAGCTTCGTCTATTTCCTGCTTGAGGGTTTCAGCCTCTTCCAGTTTGGTACTCAAGTCCCTTACCAACAGCAGCAACTTCTGATTATTCTCCTGCAGTTCGGTGATGTTGTTGAAGGTAACCAATTTTTTGGAAATAACTTCATCAGTGGTACTAAGATTGCCGCAAGAACCACTCATATTAGCACCCTCCGAGGTGAGACCAATACGCAATTGCTCCACTTCCTTGAGTAGATAACACACCTGGCGACTAAGATCAGTTTGGGAATGTTTCAATTTACGATTCTCTCTATCCATGTGGCTTATCTTGGCATGAGCCTCAACTAACAATTCTTCCAAATCTGTTTTCTTGGCCAACATTTCATCTCTTTGTTGGGCCAAAATGTTATTCGTCTCCAACAATTTCTCATATTCTAATTCCTGTTTCTTGACCATGGGAGCATTTTCATTCAACTCACTTAATATGGTCTTGAGCTGCAAATTCAAACGTGCCAATTCACGTTTCTGCAATTCACATTCCTCACTGGTCTTTACATACAAGGAATACAACTCGGTCAAAGACATATCGGCACGTATGAGTCGTGATGCCACAGCTGCAGTGGGTGCCAATTTCGAAATGGCATTCTCCACACTTTCATTTTTCAATTCCTTGAGTAATTCATTGGCATGTTTGATTTCTTCCTTTAGCTCGTCGATATTCTTCTGTTTCTCATCCAATTCCTGTTCATGTCGCAACTGGGTGGCCTTGAAGTTAGTTTCCAGCTCCCCATATTGATCACTTGCCTCAGCCAACATTCTCTTCAAATCGGATATGGCTGTTGTCAATTCGGTACGCTCCATTTCGGTATCTTCACAATTACTCTTATAGAGATCAGCCAATTTGGTCTTAGCATCCAATTCCTTCTTGTAGTAGTCCATCATCTTCTGAGCCTCCTCGTTTTGGGCCAAGATTTTCTGTGACAACTCCTGGACATTTTGCGTTAAACGCTCTATCGTCTCCTTGTATTGGGTACATTGGATTTGTACAATTTTCAATTCTTCAGTCTTTTCCGAGAGACGTGCCTCCAGCTGCATACTGTTCATGGTATTTTCCCGACGTATATTCTGCAGTTCGGAAATGTTACGATTCAAATCCTGTGTTAGATTTTGTATCTGTTTGTGCAACATATCACGTTCTTGTTCCATACGGCGTTCTTTGAAATCCAGCGTAACTTCTTTGCTTTCGATTTCATCGACACGGGCCAGCGCTTCGCATTTTGCTGCAATTGCTGACTTCAATTGTTGTTGATATGCTTTAAGATCCTGTTGCAGACGTTCAATTTCACTATTATGACGTTCGATCACCTTCAACAAATGATCACGTTCATCGCATACAGCTTTTTTGTCATTGCGCAACGAAGCCAATTCGCGCTCATAGGAACTTGTAGTCTCCAGCAAATGTTTACGTTCAGCCGACACCGAGTCGAGTTGAGAACGTAATTCCGTAACGTTTTGATTGAAGTTTTGTAATTTAACTTCATAGTCTTGTATTTGGGCTTGCAATTCATCCGTTTTTAATTCATAATCGTCTATAAGAAATAGAGAATGATATATTAGCAAAAAAATAAAAATAATTTAAGTTATAAGTCGTTAACATTTAACACTCGGAAATTCACATATTCATTATAAGAAAAAAATGAAGTGAAGGCAAACATCGCTATCATTATTCCAACTTTTGGAGACCACAGCTAGTAAAAACTACTTTAGGCTATGGGGAAGACAATAGACAAAGAAATTGTGCCAACTTTTTTGACTTTAACCATATGTCGATTTATTGATTCGAATGCACATGAATAAAATAAATTGAATGATCTTATAAAATTTAGAACATTGTTTGTCCTGGACCTTTATTGGGTCAGAATGGTACTAGGAAAACGCTTTCATTGTCCGAAATTTCAGAGGGAGGTTGGACGGACTGCATTAATTTTGTAACCGTATATTACAGATAGACGTCAAATCTGTTGCTGCACAGCTTCCATGAAGTTAGCTATCGACGGCCACGTCTTCAATGGATTCACGTTTGCACCAGAAGCCCTGACGAATGTATCATGGAGGTGGATCAGTCATCACTGTGTAATGGTTGACATGATACGTTAAATATCATGCCGCTATATTACGAAATTTCAGAAGGTTGATTTAGGACTTAATAAAATTGCTAACCGTTTATGAATTTCAGGTTTGTCCGTTGATGCACAGCCTTCATGAAGAAAGCTATCGATGATCTCTAGACTTCCGACGACTTCTTCAATTCCTTCCCGTTTGCCTAAGATTTGTCATTGAGGTGATATGATACGTCAGATATTACGACGGCATTGTCGTTTGACTGACAACATCCTGGTCTCCTCATAGAGGAGATTTGTAACATGGAACATGACATCTTCATTAGAACAAGTTAAGGGTCCATAAAAAAACCAGATTTCATCAAAATTTCACCGACGTCGAACTGCACTGAATTCAGCATTTTGTGCAAAATTTTGTCTCAATCAAGCAAACTTTCGGAGTTTGGTGTCCCATTTACATAAAATCGGCCGAAACTATATTTGGTAACTATATCTAAATATGGACTGATTTCAACAAAACTTCACAGACATCAAACTGGACTGAATTCAGTACGCTGTGTAAAATGTTGCCTCAATCGAGTAAACCTCCAGAGTTTTGTGCACCATTTATATAAAATCGAAGGAAGGTATATATGGATGCTATATATAAATCTGAACCGATTTTCTCCAATTTCAATAAGGTTCGAGTTTTGTGCACCATTTACATAAAATCGAAGGAAGGTATATATGGAAGCTATATCTAAATCTGAACCGATTTCAACAAAACTTCACAAACGTCAAACTGGACTGAATTCAGCACGCTGTGCAAAATCTTGTCTGAATCGGGCAAACCTTGGATGTTTGGTGCACCATTTACATAATATCGAACGAAAATATATATTGGAGCTATATCTAAATCTGAACCGATTTTCTCCAATTTCAATAAGGTTCGTCGTTGGGCCAAATAATTAATTTGTACCAAATTTCATTCAAATCGGATCATAAATGCGACCTGTACTTTGTTCACATTGAATTTCAAAATGTATTTTCTTCTTTCCAGAATAGTGATTTTTTGTGCAATGCCGAGTTCCGACTTCGGAACCATGAAGTGTGGAATATAATGATTCATAGCATGGTGAAATTGATATTTGAAGTTAAAATTCAGTCATAATAGATACAGATGAAAACGAATGTGTTGCTTTCTACGAATAGTAACTATGATTTTGGATTTGTAAAATTTAAAGATAATTACTTTACTTCATCCCAATTTTACAGTAAACTCCAAAGATGTCCTTCAACAGGCTTCTATATAATTCTAAAACATCTAAAATACTGATTAAAATAATTTTGTTATAAAATTTTATAAAAATCCCTTCAATTTCCCTACATTGTTTTCAACTCCCACCCACAATTGTTTGTTTTCGCACTTGAAAAGTATACACAAACAAAAAAAAATTGGCGGCATTTTGACATCCGCAACAAACAAAAAATCACACACACGCATGCACACACAAAACATCTGGCATCATCATCATCATTGTCTCAATGTACTATTGCGAGGCAATGTTTGGTTTGTAATGTTTTTTGTTTTGCTTCTTTTTCGTTGCATTTGTTTGTTTTTGTTGTTGTTCGTTTGTTCTTCTTCTTCATCATCATCTATTCTCTTTTTTGCTTTACACCACTACCGCACCACACACACACACTCGCACATTTCCTTTCTTTTTTGTGTATGACATTTTGCGTGCTAGACGCGCCGCCATTAAAAGACAGGTTAGAGAAATGCTGTGGCAAAACCAAGCAGGCAAACAATTTTTTCTCTACTCAAATGATTTTCACCGGTAAAAATGTTTTTCAGTTTTCTCGATATATTTTTGCACATGAAATGCCGGCATTTTTCTGCTTGGTTTTCCATTACTTACGTAGTCGATTTGCAGCTGCTTTATCCTTGTAATATTCATCGAAGAACTCATCTAGATATTTCTTCAATTTGTCTTGTACATTTTTCGGTGTCTGTTCCAATTCCTCCTGTGTAAGTATATTTGTTAATACTTCTTGCGGACCGCCTAGATCCATTGCAGTTGTCATGTTGGCACACTATATTTTGTTGCGGAAATGTTTATGGAATGAAATATTTTCAATTAAATTATATATTTTCACTTCTTTTCTTTTCGATTGGACAATAAACGACGGAGCTTGGCTTCCCTTTGTTTCAGATAAAAACGCGACTACACGATGAGGATTTTTTTGCAAACTGACAAAGAATACGATTGAATGCACTTAGGGTTTTATAGGTTGACTTTTGACGAATTCGATAAATCAAATAATCGATTTGTTTTAGTGTTGACTTGTTGGTCTGTAGGCCCGTATATGAATGTATGTCAAGTTAAAAGAGGTTTTAACTTCGCAAAAACTGATACATCTGGCTGAAAGTATTTTATTTGTTAATATATGTTCTCTATAATGTATAATTTTGTTATATTTTGAATTGTTGCGCGTGAGAGCAAAAGTGCGTTGCCAGATCACTGAATTGATATAATGCCGTAAACATATATGTGATTAGTGGTAACGTAACGTATAGAATATTAAGCAAACGTTATTATTCGGTAAGTTATTTAATAGCCTAGACAGACGACAGCCTTAATTTGCATTAACTGCCTTAATTCAAATTAACTTGTACATTATCCTCATTTTTATGTGTTGCTAATGCACAAAATCAAACTGAATTTATACTGAATTAAGCAATTTCAATATGGCAATGCTGTAGAAAATAAATTGATTGTTGTCAAATTTGTTTATGTTTACGAAAATAAAAATTAGAAACAAAGGCAAAATTCAACATTTCTTCAAATTTGGAGCTGTTTTATCTTCATTATAGCTGTTAGTTTTCCTTCCTGCCATGTATCAATTTCAAAAAGATGTAATCCTAAAAAATATTGTAAACAAATGTCAATATTTTCTTCCTACACACAGACAAACAATTGTTTTGAAACAAAAAACTGGTTCATAAATGAAGAAACTCTCGTCTGTCAGGGGTAAATTTTAATTCAAATTAAGAACTTTTTAATGCAAATTAAGGCTGTCGTCTGTCTATGGTATAAACGAATAAGTGAATTCGTGTGCGATATAAAAAATATCCAGTCAAAGAACAGTTTGTTGAAGATTCAACTAGATTGATATATATATATATATATATATATCTGTTGTGGTATACATAATCTAAAAAACAAACTATTAAAATTGTATATTGAGAGCACCTTCGCTTTCATGGCGATTACAATTACAGTAGGATATCTCAACCTGCAGGCACATTCACACAAGATTGAAATAAACAGTACATTAAAGAATAGTTTATTCCCTGTTGCATTACGAATGAAGTCCTTAAGCAAAAAATTAAATATATCCTCGCATTTTCGGTATTTTTAACTAACAAATAAAATAGGATGGGTATTAGGGTAGTTCAATAAATAATCAACTCAATCTCAAATGTCAAATAAAATTGACATTTGAGATTGAGTGGATTTTTAATAATTATACCATTGCATATCATGGGGATGAAATGTATATGAAATAATCACCGGAGACAACCATATTTTTTATCAGACTAAAAGTACGTTTACATTATACTGGATTTCGTTAACCCAGTGGGTTTAAATTGTCAATTCCATTGTAGATATGCCAAATAAATCCTCATGAAGTAGGTTAACCCGGTAAAAACTTCTAATGTATATGTCGTTTAAAAAATCTATGTCGATAGAGTTCGGCATTTTAGGCATGTTTTTCAAACGAAACATTAGAAAGTGGCTGCAATTTGGCATTCTAGGATCTTGGTGGCTAAAATAATTAATCAATTTCAATATTTTCAAGGTACTAGCACATTTCAAAATTGCTCTAAATGTACAACAAATTTTAAAAGTTCGGGAACGCAAATCTAGTAAATATGCCAAAATTGGATGGCAATACTTCAAAACCAACATAACAGCCAAATTTTTCGAGTAAAAAATTTACAAAGAGAAAACCATTTTGTTTTGTGTTCTCTTAAATTTGGTAAAATGTTTTACCAGTTTTGTGGGTTCAGGAACGGTTCAAGTAAAAAGTAGAAAAACTTGTACAATTGGTAGATTCTTTTAGGTTCTGGAACGGAACTATTGTATGTAACACTAGTGTCAGTTTCATATGTCGAAAAACAAATGAAATATCAATAAATTAGATTTATTAAAAAAATAATATTTTTGAATTTTCAGAATAAAATTTAAAAACATGAATGAAAATCTTGCAAATTTTTAATTATATCGCTACCATATCTTTCCTCCAATTGAGTCATTCCCATATGTAGAGTTAACTCATACAAAAACAATAAAAAATAACGTTGAAAATTGCGATTTTTCATTGCAAAAGGATATGCTGCTTTAAATATTCCTATTTGGTAATTGAAGTTAATTGTAAACCAAAGGGTAACAAACTTCTGTTACATTTTCTTTGATTTGAAAATATGCAATTGTTAACTTGCGTTTAGTACTCTTTTAAATTAATTTAATTGAAATTCTCATGACAATTGACGGCTGTAAAACCGGTTCCGAAAAAAATTAATTGCCGATACTATATTTTTCTACCGTCTGTAGATTTGGGAATATAGCAAAGAAAAATGTCAAACCTTTCACAAAATTATGTATTTTTTCTGATTCCCTATATATATATATATATATATATATATATTTTTTTTTTTTTTTGAAAATTTACTATTTTCGACACATGTTAGAAAAAAGGAAGATCTTGACCAATTACATTTATCCTTGTTCATACGATAGCTATAAATGTTCTTAATAACGTGTTAACATTTGGGGACCCGACTGGATTATTTTATTTATTTATTTATATATTTCATAGTGCCCAGTCTTTCGACCTTAAGGCTGTAAGCTACATTTCACAATTAAATATAAAATTTATCGTATTAAGCGGCTTAAATGTAAAAGGGAGGGATATTGAACTACTAAAGAATATTATACCGATTAAATTACAAAAAAAAAAAGTTTTTGATTATTATAGATTATGATTAAAAAATTTGATTAATTGGATTATGACTACTCCAGTAGGAATGTAATGGAAAATTATTATATGTATATAAAAATGAGTTGTGTTTTTATCTAAATAATTTGTATCACAAATATAAATAAAATTTAACATACATACGTACATTAAAAAAATTTAATTGAATTTGAACTACTCCAATTGTTTGTTCAAAATTGTTCTGGTTCAAAATTACAATTACAGGCTCATAAAGAAGCAGCGAATAGTCCTGAGTATTGTTTATTAAAAAACAAGTTAAAAAGCGTTAAGTTCGGTACTTTGGTACCCATATATCGGTACCAGAAAAAGTGGACCGATGTTTATAATTTGCAGTGGAGACATTTAGTACCCAAAAATAACCCAATGTTCCAAATTTCAGCGAATTCGGTTGAAAATCGCGCTCAAGAACCACAAAATACCGAAAATTGGGGGTGCTCTTATAAGGGGGCTACCGCAAAAGTGGACCGATATAGCCCATCATCGAACTTGACCTGCCTGCAGACAAAAGGCGACACAATTCCTTCAGAAGATAGCGTGATTACAACAGACGGACGGACATGGCTAGATCGTCTTAGAATTTTACCATGATCAAGAATATAAATACTTTATAGGGTCGGAAATTAATATTTCGATGTGTAACAATCGGAATGAAAAAATTTATATTATTAATATATATATATAACGTCCTGTGAATTCTCAACCTAGAACTGTAAAACTTTATCACTTCGCTACTTTTTACTGGACTTTGAAGTAAACAGACAACATCCAGTAACAATTGTTACCAAATATATCTAGTAAACAGTTATACCTAATATGCAGTAACGTTCGGCAACAAATGTTACTAAGTTATTAATTTTACAACAACAATAAACTCAAAATTTCAAAAAAAAAAAAACAGCTAAACAACTTGATCTATTTCCATTGTACTTTATCAATCTCATTATTCACAACACTGAACATACCCAACAGTATGATTTCATCAACAAACCAAAGTCATGTCAGCCAGCAAAGCAGACGCCTTTAGTTGACTTGTCATTTCTTTCTTGTTGCTTGCATATTTATTGTTTATATTTTTTTTATTTTGCCCATTGGAAGACGTAAACGTTCGCTCGTTTTGCTGTTGTTGCTGTCACGGTTGTTGTTGTCATTCTTATATGGCAAAGTCAAGAGCTAGCTAAAAATATTTCCAAAAATATCGTCATCAAACGCACTGCTACGTGAACGGTCAGGCAAGCGATTGACCAGACGGAAGGCATCGAAAGAAGAAAATAGAAAAAAAATTGTATAATTTGCATAAACAAATGCATTTTGCGAATAAATTAGTAAGAAATTATTAAAAATAGCACAAAAGTTCAATTGAAAAAAACTAAAAGGTGAGTTGTGCAGTTTTTTTTATTATTTTTGTTCTTGTCGCTGTGTTGGAAGGTCTGTTAAGTCATTGTTTTTAGATTTTAGTTATTTTTTTTGTTTATTAATAAGTAGTTGCTATCGTTGTAAATTCGATTAAAAGTGTTGGCGGTTACATTACCGGTTGAAAAAATGGTTATTATGGATGTTAGTAAAGGAATTCAAGTTCAAGTTCTTATCTATTAACCCATTGTGATCCGCTTGTTTTAGTTTAGATCTGTATTTTATAATTATTTGAAAAAAAAACAGACTATTTAAAAGTAGTTTTAATTTATTGGGACCTCCCCGTTCCCGAAATTCCACATCTTAATAAGGTAATGAAAATACCATATATTTTAACTTAGTGGATCTAAAAAAGATTTATATCGACAGGTGCAAGATACCACCACTATATGTTTGAGGTATTTCATCCAAAGTGTTAATCAGTCAAAACGTTGGGCCCGAACGAAATCTCGAGTACCTGACTAAATGCACCAATTTGTCGTTTCTTATGTACTCAAAAACTAACAAGATGGTCCAGCTATACATGCTGATATCATGTTTACCGCCAGTAGTAAATTTTCACGGTATATTACATATATTTTTGATCAGGGAAGCCTGGATCTCGGCCGAAAGCCTTTGATCCATAATTGGACGACTTATATCAGAAAGTTCCGTTCTATTCTTTAAAATCCACGCTTGTATAGATCCCTGAAAAATTATTCTTTTAAAATATACGATTGTATAGACCCCTAAAAACTATTCTTTAAAAAGTCCATGCTTATATAGGCCCCCAAAAAACTATTCTTTAAAAATTCGCGCTTATATAGGCCCCTAAAAACTATTCTTTAAAAATTCGCGCTTATATAGGCCCCTAAAAACTATTCTTTAAAAATCCACGCTTATATAGACCCATAAAAAACTATTCTTAAAAAATCCACGTTTGCATGGGCCTCTAAAAAACTATTCTTTAAAAATCCACGCTTATATAGGCCCCTAAAAAATATTCTTTAGAAATCCACGCTTATATAGGCCCCTGAAAAACTATTCTTTAAAAATCTTTGAAAATCATTCAAAAATCCACGCTTATATAGGTCCCTGAAAAAAATATTTTTTAAAAATTCCCGTTCATAATTATTTATCCTTAAAAATTTACGATTGTATTAATGACTAAAAGGTCGTTTACATTAAAATTTGGTTTGGGTTTAAATTTTCAATTCCTTTAAATATATGCCAAATAAATCCTCAAAAATGGGTTAACCCGGCAAAAAGTTCTAATGTAAATGCCGTATAATATTTGTTATATAAATCCAATAAAATATTCTTTAAAAATCCACTCTTTAAAATGTTTTTGAATTATCCCAAAGAAGTTTGTTGGCCATCAAATAGGTCTCTCTTTAAGTGATGGCTAATTTGTTCACATTTAATAAATTTAACCTTCGATATATAACAAGCGGTTAGCGTTAATTTAATTTTATATATTTAAATCTTTAAAATTTCAAAATAATTTTTAAAAGATTGAACAGATAATTCTACAATTATTTCCCACAACAGGTTAAGATAACTATTTATCTCTTTACTCCCGAATACTGAACATACCCCAAAAAGTGTATTCTCTCTCAACAGTTACACAAAGTCAGAGCGGCTTTATAAACGAACGCCGTTACTGATATGACATTTCGTCTTGTTGGCTTGTTTGCCTGTTGTTTATTGTTGTGTTTTATTTTTTGCCTACGAGGAGGAAAAAAAAACCTTTTAACATATCTTTTTATGTTCTTGTATTTTATGGTATTTTAAAAAGGGAGGATCAATTAAAAAATGGGAATAATATTGGCAAAATTTCGGGTAAGTTTATTGCATTTAAATATATAAAGCATTTTTATTAATTTTGTTGGTTTCTTGCAGAAAGAAAAATCCACACAGGAGGTCCTCGAGGAATTACAAGGCAAAATAGATGAGTTGGAAGATTTCACCTATAACACACAGGAACAAAAGAAACGTATTGTGGGCAATTTTCTAGCCGTATCGATTGGCATCTACATTATTGCATTTGTTGTATTCTATTTTGTTTATTTTCCACCTACATGGAGGGATCGTATTATATATTCAATACCCTTGTTGCTGTTTCCCATCATGTAAGTAGAGTGTATGACTGTATGACGCTTGGTGACAATACAATTTTTTTCTGTTTTCGTTTTTTTTGTCGGACCGGTTAGCTTGTAGGAAAAGTGTTTTTTTTGTAATAGTTTCTTTTTCCAAAAGATATTCGATATGATCAGCAGAAGAGGTCTGAGAGAAAGGGAATTTGTTGCTGCTGCGGCTGCTGCCACAGTTTGAGTCATTGCACCGAAATGAATGTTTATTCATAGCATAGCGGTGACAACAACAGTAGTGCTTTGTAGTCGCACTGTATTGCAAAAAAAGAGATTGTTTGAAATGAATGAACGCACGCTGGAATTCAGCTATGATGAGTAATGATGATGTCCATTTTTTTGCAATGGATATTGTATATATAAAAACAATACCGGCTTCTTATACATTGATCTTATTGTAGGCCTGAATTCAGGATTGGCATGTTCTTATCACTGTGTGGGCTTGGTTTTAAAATTCCTAGGCTTATGTATGTGCAGCAAACCAAATGCATAGCAACTGAAGAACTTATAAAGGTTTCATTAATCTGACGTCAATATTTCAAATTATATATGTTCATTAACAGAGAGTGAAAACCAACGTGACAGAAATATGTAATTCTAGATTGTTTGTTGGAATACAAATCAGTAGAACAATCCCAGAATGTTTTCCAACTAAAACTATCCCTATCTCAAACCAAAAAAAAAAAAATATCTAGTTAGACACAGTGGGCCACTTTGTCGATAAGAATCAATGCGGCACTTGTAAATTCTGTGGATCGATGTATACAACAACATAAATTGAGATAAGAATTATTTTTATTGAAGTGCAGAGTTTATTTTCGAATGAAGCAGCAATTGCTCAAAATGCCATCTATATTTTAAGACAATTTGCCGGGAAGTATTTTTTTTGGATTTTTGTTGATAATTATTAACATTGCTCATGGACAGGAAGGCCATTCTAGTCATTTACATCGTTAATCTTCGAAATTTTTTATCGATTCAAGCCAAGGTACGAAAATATCCCCCACGAAATCAACGTTTACCGCATGGAAATTCATAATGTGTGAATACCATCCCCGCAGACCATTCTCCACCCAATGCAAGACGACGATGTGAATTTGTTTAATTTCCAGGCTTAAATAACTCACTCAGCCCTGTCACATTTGACAGCCCTATCCGTTCAGAGATGTTTAAAGCCATGCCTGCGTTCGGTATTCCCGCAAAATTAATACGGCTCTGGAGGATAATTTTCACTGCCACAAGGTCAGCTGTTAAAATCGGAAAGGACCTCTCGAAGCCCTTTAATACCGAGCGGGGATTCAGGCAAGGTTACAGATTGTCGTGTGATCTTTTTAACAACCTGCTGGAGAAGGTCATACGATATGCAAATGTGAACAGAATCGTTAATCTTCGATATTTTATATCGATTCAAGCCAAGGTATGAAAATATCCCCCACGAAATCAACATTTACCGCATGGAAATTCATAATGTGTGAATACCGTCCCCGCAGACCATTCTCCACCCAATACAAGACGACGATGTGAATTTGTTTAATTTCCAGGCTTAAATAACTCACTCAGCCCTATCGCATTTGACAGCCCTATCCGTTCAGAGATGTTTAAAGCCATGTCTGCGTTCGGTATTCCCACAAAATTAATACGGCTCTGGAGGATAATTTTCACTGGCACAAGGTCAGCTGTTAAAATCGGAAAGGACCTCTCGAAGCCCTTTAATACCGAGCGGGGATTCAGGCAAGGTGACAGATTGTCGTGTGATCTTTTTAACATCCTGCTGGAAACGGTCATACGAGTTGCAAATGTGAACAAAAATGGCACTCTGTACACCAAACAGCACATTTCTACTCGCCTACGCCGATGTCATCGATATAATGGGTCGAAAATTGTAAGCGTAACCGCCTCTTTTGAACAAATTGAGAATGTGTCTGCCAAAGTGGGTCTGGCAGTAAATGAAGAGATGACCAAACAAGACGTCCAGTAGAATCGGACCAACTGTGGAACATGACTTTGAGGTAGTCAAAGATGTTGTGTACCTTGTTACCGCCATAAATATATCAAATGACATCAGTTTTGAAATTCGGAGGAGAATAGTGTTGGCCAACAGATGCTACTAGGGTCTAAGTTAGCAATTCAAAAACAAGGCCATCTCCCGCCAGACCAAACTCACACTCTACAAGACACAGATACTACCCGTGTTGTTACATGGATCTGAAGCATGGGTACTTGTGCAAGCAGCAGCCCGGTGAATATTCCCGTCGAATGAATCAAGAAATGTACCATCTATTCTGATTTTTTTTATTTGGAGTCTTTTCTAGTGACCAGTTATATATCCTACAGCGATTTTCTCAAGACCTTTTTCGTCCAGTAGAAATCCTACATTAGCGGTATTTTAGCACAATAAACATAATAGTTCACCAAACAGAATAGTTAGTATATTTTCTTTGACTATTATACGTCTCTGGACCTAACATCGTAAACTATTTTTTTACGGAGCACAATTAGAATCTAGTATTAATGTAGACAGTTTTCTACAGTTTTTTAGGCAGTTTTTCTAATATGTTTCCTTTTATTTTTGCAGTATCATACTCCTGCGTCATTTATTCTCCTGGTATTACCAGAGAAAATTAAATAAGAACTCGAAAAAATTAACTGCTTTAAGGGCAGAAAAGAAGAAGATTCTCGAACAGGTTATGGATAAGGAGACCTATAAAGTAGCGGTCAATCTATTGGCACGTTTTGCCGATAAACCCAGTCGGACAACCTATAGTGGTAAGTATATATCTAATAACAAAATCTATCCTGAAGTTGGTGTCTAATCTATCGCTTATTTTTATTTTTCACAGCCACAACATCAAATTTACGCACGCCAGCAAAAATATCGCTATCATCAACGTCATCGGCTACATTGAATCGTTCCTTACCGGTGACAGCAATGAAAACAACAACTACAACCCAATTGGCATTAACATCAGCATCAGCTCAAAAAACTCCATTGGCTGGCAATAAATCTACACTTACAAATAATAGTCCTCGTACCGCTACCACAGCTCTATCACCACTTTATGGTAGTGCAGCTAATCAAAGTGGCCAATTGGTACGTCGTCGTACTCCCTTCCCGGTCGTCAATCAAAATGAAAAAGGTGTTTTTGAGAAAATTGTCGATGTTTTAATCGGTGATGGACCGGGTGATCGTTTTGCCATGATCTGCAAGGAATGTTATGCTCATAATGGTAAGTTGAGAAATTTGAATCTTATGGGTAGATAATGAATACCTTGAGGTACATTGTAAAGGGTCCCCGCTTATCGAATTCCTATGAAAATTTGGAAGAAAATTGTAAAGGGTCCCAACTTTTTTTTTTGGCCGGACACTATAGTTTTCATTTTTTAAGAAAATTGTAAAGGGCCGCTTCTTATCGAATTCCTATTAAAATTTTAAAGAAAATTGTAAAGGATCCCAATTTGTTGGGGGGACCATCTAGTTTTCAGCATTCTTTATGGATTTTCTAAGAAAAGGGTCACAATTTGTTGTTGATTGTATTTCGAGGGCGGTATTGGTGAGCTATTTATGCACATCGTTCCTTTTATGGTTTGTGCGAACGATTTAAATTGCTGTCGAATGTGACCTTGAGAATTTTTTTGTATTTAGAGATCGGAATTCTGTGTAACTCAGTTTCAAGCTCATATCCAACTTTTGCGGGACCTTCAAGTTTTGTAAACCTCATTAGTAATTTCCTTTATTTTAATTATGCATCCCTCCTAATGATTTATTGTCTCCTTTATTTTGTAGGTATGGCCTTGAAGGAGGACTTTGAATATACCACATTTAGATGTGCATTCTGTAATGCATTGAATCCGGCAAGAAAGTCAAGACCAGCAGCGCCACGTTTGACGCTCAATGCAAATGCACCGACTGCTGGTGCTGGTAATGCTTCTAATTCTTCGTCGGATGAAAAAGATGATTCAGGTAATTTAGAATACATTTTTCAAAACTGAAATACACAATGAAAAATTAAATTTCTTTCCTTTAGATGATGATCTATCTCCCATTGCTGCAACACAATTTACAACGCCATTAACATCAATGACTGCACGTAATGTCAATGCCGTAGATACTTCATCATCGTCTGAGGATGAAGCTAGCCAACCAAAAACAGCCAACAAACCACCAGTGGTAGCAACCAAAACAGCAGAAGAGCAACAACAAAATGTTGATACGAAAAATGAAGCTACCATAAAGTCTGATAATTTAGAAAAGTCTGACTCGGCCATAGATGATGTGACAATGAGTCCGATAGAATAAAAAAAGCAAACAAAATCTGATGCTGTTACACTAAATCACCAGCCAATTAACATTTGAATTTATTTCCCCCCTCACCCCTTTTTATACTTCTATCGCTCCTTTTTGCATTTTGTTACTTAGCAATTACTATTGTTTTTTTAAATAATGATTTTATTTCTCCTTCATTTTTCTAATATAAATAGTTAAGCATTTCTATATAATTATCAAATTTTTTATATATTCTTTTAATTTTATCATTTTTTCTTATTTTATTTAATTATGTTTTTAACACACATTTTCTTAATGCATTGTTTTTTAAGCTTTTAAATTAGTCGTCCTCGTGATTTTTTTCAGAGAACCAAGCCTTAATATTATAATAATTTATTATATTACTAAATCAACCACTCCTCATAAATATTTTTTTTTTTTAAATTTTGTTAGATATTATCTATGAAATTAAGTAAAAAAGAAATGATTTTTAATTATTTAGTTATTTTTTTGTGGTTAAAATTGATGGCAATGAATATTTAAAATATTCATTCCATATTTTTGTCTAAATGATGAAAAAAAAGAAAATTGTAAATTATTCATAAATTAATTTAAAAAAATAAAATTAAATAAAAAATTAATGTAAATTAGAAAAAAAAAACAAAGCACATTTATATATTACTGACTTGGCGTATTATATGACATTTGGCGGTATCTTAACTACTCTAATCCGAAATCCTAAACTACTCTAATCAAAAATCCTTCTTTAGTTTTTGTTGTTTTAGCAGCCCTGCTGCTTTTACACAATTCGTTGAGGTGACAGACATTGGCCGAGCGAGACTCGGTTCGTTTTGGATCGTAGACCCCTCTGTCGCGGAAACGTATTTTTTCGATGTTCTAGACTAACCTATTTACATTTTTATTATATTATTCTATTTCTTTTTTTTTTATAAAATAGTCACAAATGGTGAGCGTTTGCTTTAAATTGAAATGTATTCTGTCCATCCTACCCGCAATAATTCATATTGCCAATATGACACAAGATCAAATGTCAGCTGGCGGAGAAATAAACAATAGAAAACGTGATAATATTTTTATAATATGCATGTTAACATTATGACTTAGTTCGCGGCAAATAAATAATAAAAATAAAATAAGAAAGGAAAAATATTATTACAACATATTGATAGGCGTCACCGTGACTTTTGAGCTGTGTGGTGCCTAGAGACACCAACGCATACAGTGGTGTAGAGGAATTATTTGTGAAAAACATTTTGGAAAATCTTCTCCATCATATCACATGGAGGGAAGTAACTAACTAAGTAACTCGCAGATCAGAGAACTTACGCAGCAGCATATTAGTCGTGGAGCATAAGCGGGAACATGACTAAAGCATGTAAAGTTTTGCAACATTTCTTACTTAGCTGGCTCAAGACAGAACATTTGTTCCATAAGGCAAGCTTAAAAAAAGGATTTAAAGGCGCGTGGGTCTTGTGCGCAGCTGTTCCAATTCGAAAGACCATGTTTCGAAATGTTGTCATTCACTTGATCTTTCCATCGAATTCGTGGGCTTCCCTTTCTGGGTGAGTCATCAGTTGGCTCGCTTTTATATGCCTTTTGAGCTAGCCACTGTAGTCGTTATAGCTCGATACGTCTTACTATGTCGATGTCCAAGAATAAATGGTACAATTCGTTGTTCATTTGATTGCAATATTCACCGTCGACGCAGATCGGCCCGCAGATCTTTCGGTGAATTTTTCTCATAAAAACTCTAAGCGCTGCCTCATTAGGGATAAGTAAATTGACTTTCGACTAATCAATTAATCTACTTTCGACTAATCAATTTTTGTATTGAAAAGTCGAAGTCAACTTTTGATCTATGAGAAAATCGAAAAGTCGACTTTCAAGATCGACTGTCGATGATTTTCTTCTTAAATACTTGGTTTATTATCACAAAACCCAAATTGCCTAAAAACTACACTTTTCAGAACTTTACTTTATCTTTCGTTAATTCATATAAAAAATCAAAATTGTACTCAATTTTGAACAAGTCAGTAAAAGTCGAAAATCGATTTTTAACAGTTTTGACAAAATCGAAAGATCGAAAAGTCGACTTTTTAGTCAAAGAAAAAACCAAAAAGTCTAAAAATCGACTTTTTGGTCAGAGGCATAGCATAAATCGATCGAATACGTATCCCTATGCCTCATCTGCCTGCGTAAGTACCCATGCTTCAGATCCATACACAAGGGCGGGTATTATCAGCGTCTTGTAGAGTATGAGTTTGGTCCGGCGAGCGATGGCCTTGTTCTTACATTGCATCTGTTGTTTTATATATGGCGGTACCGAAGTATATAAAATCTTTGACTACCTCGAAGCTATAGTTATCTAGTTCCACATTTGGTCCGAATCTATTGGAAGTCTTGTGCGTTGATACCATCTTCTTAGGTCAGATTTGGGAATGTGCAGTCGCATATGTGGCTGCAGCACTCTAAGACCGTTAAGTCCGTTGTGATCATCCACGAGATAAGGATAGATCTATAGGGGAGAGAAGATTGGGGAAATAAGAAAGATATAAGAAGGTAAGATTGGAATAATGTCCATGTCTATAGAGATCAGACAGAACATATATTACGTGTCAAGGTTGCACTTTCCCAACCACTTTAGATTTCTAATTATGCTCTAGATAAGAGCAGGTTCGGTTGTTGAGAAGAAGCTAAGACTCGGTGGAAAAGAAGCACCCACTAGTAGGTGCCGCCTGTAGGCCAGGGCTGGACAGTTACACAGAAGATGCTCAATTGCATCAAGATCCCATTTACTAGTAAAGGCCCTGATATTGCAGTGACCAGTAATGATTCCTGTCATTACTGTTATTTCAGCTTTACTCAGGTTCAACAGTGAGTGCGTTCTTTTGGTAGACAGAGTCGGCCAAATTGATCTTGACACATTGCACCTAGGTTCGTTGGGCCAAAGTTCATATGCTCTTTCGTCGAAGAACGACTCAAAGTTGGGGTAAAGATGACATATGGGTGGTTTGATTGAGTCATCAATTGCTAGATCTGTGGATTGAGATCCTCGTCTAGATAGTTCGTCTGATCTTTCATTACCCAAGATGTCACAGTGTCCTGGTGCCCAACACAGCCGATAGCTGTAAGTAAGTTCTTCCAAAGCTGCTCTACACTTGAGGACGGCCTCAGATTTGATATAACAAGATTTGATGGCTTTAAGAGCCGCTTGACTATCTACGAAGATAGTCAAAGGTACAACTTCGGCAGAGGTTTTGTTCATGCAGCCTTTGGGCGCTACGCGCGGCCTTACGCTTAATACTAAGGCCCAGGGGCCTAAAATTCAGCATTGCGTACTCCTCCAGGCTCCTGTAACTAAAATCGAGGCGGCTCTTTGTACCTTACCTAATTTACTGGATGTCGGCATGTGACCTTACCACGGTGTAATACAACCAGTGTATAGTCGATGGTTTTAGCCCCAGCTTTTTCCAATGAAGAGTGCAATCAGCCCTCTCTTCTCCCGTTCATCAGCGTTCCTATCCCATCGTAGTTGACAGTCCAGGATTTTTGCCGAGGTACTTTGCATCAGGAGATATATGAAGTTGCACTCCATTTAGTGTTGGTGGAGTAAAAACGCCGAACTTACGCTTCCTGGTGAACATTACCAGTTCCGTCTTTGTTGGATTTTCACCAAGGCTGATAGCCCTGGCCCAACGCGACAGCGTCAGTAGGCTCTTTGCATAAGTTCCGAGATTGTTGACGGAAAATTTCCGGAAATCAATATCACCACGTCGTCCGCATAAGCTACAACTTTGATACCTTTCCCGTCCAGTTTCATCAGTATCCCAGTAGAAAGTGTCTTGCAGACAACATTAACGAATCGTGCAAGACAATGACAATTCCTTGAAGACACTTTGCAGACAACAATGTGAGATCCTTGACGAAATTTTCACACAAGTGTCGCAGTATTCATGCAAGACAACTTGGGCGACAAGGTAAGCGAAGTTGTCGTTGACGACAACTTCGTCGACAAAACTCCCTACTTTTCGTTGACGACTTCATCGATTATGTCGTTTACACCGTCGTTGACGACTGAATACCCATTGTCATCAATCATACCCCATTAAAAACAATTCAGGTTTTCAGCTCTATCCGTTCACCCAAAATCCAAATTGTACTAAATTTATTAACATTTTGTAGTTTCGTACCCATAAGTACGAATTTCCTGAACTCCTCAATCCTACACTTCAACAGTCATTTTAATTCGCAATTTCAAGACTCCAGTTCTATCTGTACACCTAAATCCAACTTGTATCAAATTTTGTACTTTCAGTCCTCTCCTCCAAAAGTAATCCTAATTCATATTTTTAGGACTCCATCTCTATACGCTTAAATAAATGTAAATAGTACCAAATTTAGTACTTATCATACACATAAGTACTCAAAATTTCATGCTTCTAGCTTCAGCCGTTTCGTCTGCGCGATGATCTCACAGTCACTCACTCGCTTATCACTAAGCTCCTTTATATATTAAGGTCATATAAGGCATTCTCGATTTAATTTATTAACAAGCAATGACCCTTAATCCGGGGTCTATGACGTTTAATCCGGATTAAGCCTTAATCCCCTCAATGACCCTTAATCCTGAGTCAATGACCTTTAATCCGGGGTTAATAACCCTTAATCCCCTCAGTGACCCTTAATCAGGCTTAAGCCTTAATCCCCTCAATGACCTTAATCCGGGGTCAATGATCCTTAATCCGGATTAAGCTTTAATCTCCTCAGTGACCCCTAATCCGGAGTCAATGACCTTTAATCCGGGGTCAATGACCCTTAATCCCCTTAGTGACCCTTAATACGGGGTCAATGACCCTTAATCCGGATTAAGCCTTAATCACCTCAATAACCTTTAATCCCCTCAGTGACCCTAAATCCGGGGTCAATGATCCTTAATCCGGATTAAGCTTTAATCTCCTCAGTGACCCCTAATCCGGAGTCAATGACCTTTAATCCGGGGTCAATGACCCTTA